AAATAGTATTTATTTCTTTCTCTGCTCATATAAGTAATAGTCTATAGTAATAGTCTACTGGCGACCGGCTTTGGGTGGATGAGTAAATCCACTCTGGTAAGTGGAAGGGCACACTCAACATTTAAAATACTAAAATTCAATTTTGGAAATCCCAATGAAATGTTTACCTTAAATCATAATGAACGCCTCAGAGGTTATCAGTTTAAACTTAAAAAATCATACTTTTCGACAAGATCAAGACAGAACTTCTACCAAATAGAGTTTTGAAGTGCTGGAATAAGCTTAATGATAACATTGTGTCTGCTTCCTCTAACAACTAGTTCAAAATCAAACTCGACCGTTTTATATTACAGTTAAAATATTGTTTTTGTTTTAAACTGAAATTGCATTTTTGTAATTTTTTTTGTAATTTACTAGTTGCTAATACAATTTCTTTGTTTTAAGGCACAATAATTTTCTGTACTTGCTTATGTATAAGCAAAGGCTCCAAAACATCCATCCATCCACCCATGGCTTTAAACGTGAATGGTAACATTATCGAAAATGTCGAGAAATTTCGATATCTAGGGTGCTGGATAACAAAAGATATAGATCCAGACATAGAAATAAAATCGCGAATTGAACAAGCAAGAAATGTCTTTTTAAAAATGAAACAAATGTTTACGTCCCAAACACTCAATCTCAAAATCCGATACCGAATGCTGAAATGTTACGTTTACAGCACCTTACTATATGGAATGGAGGCCTGGACCTTCAAAATCAACTCACTAAGGCGTTTGGAAAGTTTTGAAATGTGGTTATTTCGAAGGATGCTGAAAGTCCCCTGGACAGCGCATATGAGCAACGAGCAGGTCCTACACAAGATGGGTACCGACAGAGAACTCTTAAAAATAATGAAAACACGGAAAACCTCATATTTGGGACACATATACAGAAATGAGAAATACCAGCTACTGCAGCTTCTTATAGAGGGGAAGGTAGAAGGAAAGCGTGGTCCTGGTAGACGGCAGGCGTCCTGGTTGAAGAACATTCGTGAGTGGACTGGTTTGGATTCTCAATCTTTAATAAGAAAAGCCAGGGACAGAAATGATTTTGCTGAGGTTATCGCCAACCTTCATTGAAGACGGCACCCAAAGAAGAAGAAGCTTATGTATAATAATATTAATAATAAGTACAGAGATCTGTAAATACAAATAAGTAGACAATGGAGAATGGAAAGTACCCAGACTATAACTATTACTCTTTCTACCAGTGGAGTCATTTCGAAGAACCTCGTAGAAAATATTAAAAAGCTGGGTCTAAATGAAAATTTATATAAGATCATGCAGAAAGCTGTGTTACTTTCAACGTCCAGATGAAGCGTGCGAAAATTTTTGGGATATACACCGACGTACCAAGTCACCTAGGACTCGATAACATGGAAAGAGTCCCACCAGAGCTCAATCCATTTGATACCGAAGGTATCTGGGATGAGTGAATTTTCCTCTTAGAGAGAGTGTGGGCCATATGGCTAAATTTGGATAATATTATATTGGTTAACGGCATTAGAATACAAAAGTCAATGAGAAACTACTACATTAAATGTCCCTGTTGACATTTCTATTATCAATTATAATGAATATCACTAGGTACGCACGAGGCACTATAGATTATGGTAATCGGAAACCAAAATCAAGCAGAACAGGACAACCATCAGAATGTAAGCCCTTCTCGGTCATCAACATGCGAGACCCTTGAACAAGCCAAAAATACTCAGCTCACTTAGATAAAAATAACAACCTTGACTGAAAGAACTTTGTAGTCTGGAAAACTACATATTGTTATCAGAGAAAGAGAGGCTTAATATATATAAAATTGAAGTTAGTGATGTAAATTGGTCAGGGAATGGAGAGATATCAATAAATACTCACAATATGTATTAAACTGGAGAAGACAAAACTGATCATCGATGAGGAGTAGCGTTTATCATAAACGACACAAATAACAAATCAGGGCCAATTGTGATCAAACTTTCAGAAAGAATATTAAGGCTAAAAATTGAACCACAAAACTGGAACGTTATTCAATATTAATATGATTTAAGTTTATGCTCACATATTTGATAAGACCAAAGATGCCATCAAAAATTTTTATTCACAATTGCATAATACGCTGAAGTAAAAAAAGTCTTAAGATATTATGTATAAGTGATGGATTACTACCTACTCATACTGACACGACTAAACAAAATTCATAATCCCATCCTACACAAGGTAAATTGGCTAACTACCATAGCATGTTACATAGATTAATAGAAATTAACATGTCAGAAAATAACTTCGAGAGGGAACTGAATATCATTAAGCAAATAGAAGTAAACAATGGGTACAACAAACACACAATAAATAAAATTTTAAATAAAAAACTACATAAGAAAGCCCTGAAATTAGTATTTTCACCACCAGAGAAAAAACCCAGTAACTTCTTCTGGATTACATGTACAGGCAAGATATCAACAAAAATAGTCAAAAAAATTAAAAAGCAAGGAATAACATCAGCTTTTAGAACAAACCACTGCCCAAAAACTTACATTGGTCAAACTGGTAGAACTTTTATCAAACGTTTCGCAGAACATAAAAGGCCTTAAGCTAACTTTATTAGAGTCTAAGAAAATTAATACTTAATAAGACATAATTAAGACATAATTCTGAATGACCAACTTGAGACAAAGTTTTTGGAGGTTACTTTCCTTAACTTATTCAGTTAAAGACTATAAAGTGTAACACATACCAAAAATAGATCAATTGAGAAAGGCACTCTGGCCGAAACAGCTGTAGTGATAATAATTTTAAATAAATTTTGTGAAAGTGCTGAAAACAACAGTGTTTTTTGTGTGTTTTATTGTTTGACATTACATATATTTTAGGAGAATTTGTTGCAAGAATTGGCGCAGATATACTTGAAAATATTGTAGGATAGTTCGAATTAGGAATTAGAAACGAGAGAGCAGAAAGGCTCATCAAATTTGCCAAGAAAAGAATGTGCTATTTGCCAATACTCGGTTTTAGCTGGAAGACTATATACCACATTGTCAGAATTTAGATATATTTAATACTCGTAAACAGCAGATACTAAATCAATTAATCATAATAATTAGTACAGATAACATTAATCCTGAGTAGAAATATGTATCGAACATTGTTTATATGCTAATTAAACTTTCTACAAATATCTAACAGAACTATGCAGTCTAATCAATATATTACTATTAGTAACAATAATTTATGTATCCATTCCTTATGCCAAAAGATAAAAAACTAATGGTTTTAAAAGATATGTGTCGAAATAATAGTTACATCCAGACCTAAAATATAACTACAAGTAATCGGTATTGAAAAATTGGCCAGATAATTAAAATGTAATATCTTTTGTGTAAGAATATGATCTCTCCATATTCAAAAAAAAAATAGTAAACCAGTAATAATTGGGATATTCAGAACAGGTCATCTCTTGAGAATCAGTTTGTGGACAAAACATCAACACACGACTTTTTATGTAGCCTGTACTCCTTGAATGCAGTAATATCAGTTTCATCCGACGTGTAAACGTAGGTTTGATGATTACTTGTTATTAAGCATTATGACCCATTAGTATCGCCACTTTTGTTTAACTTATATTCTGAAGAAATTTTTTAAAACACGCTTAATAATACCAAAGCAGGAGTTACCGTTAACAGAAAATTAGTTAACAACATACGATATGCAGACGACACTGTGATCATAGCAACGAGTATAGAAGATCTACAAAATCTTATCTTATCGTAAAAATCTAAATTTGGAGATCAGGCTACGTACCATTCAAAGTAATAAAAATATCATGAACTAGAATTATAAATAAAGAAGTACTGGGGAGGGTTGATAAAGAAACACAACTAATCACCACTATACAAACCAAAAAACTAGAATACCTAGGCCACGTGATGAGGGGACCAAAATATGAAATTTTAAGACTCATAATACAGGGAAAGATTCAAGAAAGAAGATCTGTTGTCTGAAGACAGAACTGATAATTAAAGAATCTATGTGATTGGTATCGATGCAGATCGATTGCTTTGTTTAGAGCAGCAAGTTCAAAAATAAAAATAGCCATTATGATTGCCAACCTCCTTACTGAGACGGTACTCTAAGAAGAAGAATATCAAGAGTCACACCAAAATAAATAGATCCAGAAACATGCTCGTAAACAATGGCAAAGAAATTGATCAATGTTACAACTCAACTTTCATCACACGGTCAAGATATCAGCACTCAAATATTAATTGTCTAGGAATAGGACACAATCGACTAACTCGTCGACTAGTTACCTTAAGCAGGGAGAGCAGATACCGAGATATTCTAATTATAAACTAAATCTCTTAACTAAAGAGAATGTAGCCTTATAAATTCCGATCCTATAAAGCTCTGGGAATAGACTGTGATTAAATTTTAACTTGGTTATGAACGATATCAAGCCATCCTGCAAGGAAAAATATTTGGAAAGCGAGGTCCACAAAGAAAATGATCTTGGTTGAAGAACCTCAGAATCTGGTTTAATACAGCATCTGTGCCGGTTTTCCGTGCTGGTGCAGATAAGATGAAGATTACCATGATGATTGCCAACAGTCATAACGGATAGGCACATCAAGAAGAAGAAGAATGAACGAGGAATGCACTTATAGTTATAGGTCCAATTACGAAAGCTTTTTGATAAACGTGGATAAATAGTACATTATTGGTTTATGGATATCTTCTGGATCCCTTTTAATTGTGATCTTCATCTCTTATTTTGGGCAGTTATTTAAGATATTGAAGATAACAAAATTAGTAAGTGAAGTATTTAAATAATCAACAAAAAATTGAAAAAAATCAACGAAGACTCTAGGCCTACATGACGGGAGAAGAGCTTTTATATAAACTGTACTGGTTACAAATTGGAGATTTTATGGATTATTAATATTTAAAAACTATAGTATCAATACTTACGCAGTAAAAGTGGAAAAATGAATACCAATCTCATGGCTGCTAACAATTGAGTCATTCGGAACATGTGGTTACTACTCAATAAACTAACTGTCGTCTAAATTATTGCTAAACATTTATCTCGTATTTATAGAGATATTTAAAATTCATATTTTGTGATTAACGACAAGATAGACATATACATATTTAACACGACGATTATATTACACGGGGTAATCGTAAGTGCGAAAAATATAAAATGCAAAAATGATTAAAAAGTTTTTAACTGTTTTTAAATTTGGATAATAATACTTTACTTAGCTAATAATGCTGTTATCAACATACTCTACAATTAGGTAATTTTGTTTATAAGTAACGTAAGTTAGGTATGGGTTAAGCAAAAAACTTAAAACTTAAAACTTAAAGATATACTAAATTGGAGAACCTAATTAGTAGTTGATAGAGTAACAATAATTACGGGTAATTTTTTCAAATAATTTTAGACAATAGTAGAACAATAAGTATGGAATTTCTAACATCTAAAAAATGGTTTTATTACGGTATGTATATAAGAGAACGATAGGGTGAAGGGAGAAGAGGTGGACTACCTTTTAGAAAACTGAAGCCTGTTTCTCTATTAAATAAACATCAAAATAGAAAAAATTGTAAAGCATAACTTAACATTGGTATTTGTTTTGGTATAAGTATGTATGTACAGCGTTAACAGTCCTTTTAGGCCCATTGCTAGATGGATAATTTCCATCGTTTTCTATTCTTAGCTAACCGCTTCCAATCTCTGATGCCCATTTCTCTGACATCTTCCATCACTATATCTCTCCATTTCTTTCTTGGTCTTCCTCTCTTTTTTTTTGCCCTCAGGTACTCTCCAAGCAATATTCTTGACTAGTCTTTTGTTATTGTAGGGTTAGCATACAAATGATACACTTCTGCATTAGTGCGTCTTCTTCATTCTCCCTCTACTAATTTTCCACCAAATATTCTGCGAAGTATCTTTCTTTCCCATGCTTCCAATGTATTCTGTATGGTTTTGTTCATAGTCCATGTCTTGGCAGCATATAGCATTGTGAGTCTTATTATAGTTTTCTATACTGTTATTTTTGTATTACGAAATATACCTTTGGCCTTAATTATTTTGCTCATGGCTCCACCACACCTGTTGCTCTTGGTCAATCTCAGGTTGATTTCAGCTTCTTCCTTACATGTCTGACCAAGAAGAGTACCTAAGTACATATATTCATCCACCTTCTCGAATTCTACAGCTGTTCCATCCTCCACCTCCAATTTAAAGGATCCCCTGGTGTGTATTCCTTTTTTGATAGAGATCTCCATGTACTTCGATTTATTAATATTAACTTTCAGTCCCATTTTAAAACTTTCCCGAATCAGTCTTTTTGTTATATTTGATAGATCTTTTCGATTTCTTGCAATGAGAACCACATCATCAGCGTATGCTAAGCATTGGTGCTCCTTGTATAGAATAGTCCGGACCTATTTATCCCACTAACTGCATTGCTATATTGAATATCAATGTAGACGACGGGTCCACTTGGCGAACACCTTTTTTCACTTCGTATTCTTCTGAGACTGTACCGTTGCATCTCACAGCACAAATGGTTTGTCTAATTGTCATTTTTACCAATCTTATTATTTTTTCTGGCACTTGGAATTCTTTTAGTGTTTCTATTAACTTGTTTCTGTCTATTTTATCGTAGGCAGCTTTGTAATCAATGAAAAGTACTTATGCTGAAATGTTGTATTCATAGCAATTGATCAGGATTTGTTTAAGCATAAAAATTTGATCGGTTGTTGATCTTACTTTCCGAAATCCTCCCTGGTATTCTCCTAGATTCTTCTCTATATATATTTCTAATCGTTTTTTAATTAGTATGGCGAGTATTTTATAAATTACCTCTACTAAGGATATTCCTATATAGTTTGCGCATTCAGTTTTATCTCCCTTTTTGTGTATAGGAATTATAATCGACTTATTCCATTCTTGAGGCATTTCTTCGGCATCCCATACTTCTAATATTAGCTCACCAAGTTTGTTTATTAAGGCCTCTCCTCCATATTTTATGTTCTCTGCCACAATGCCGCTCTCCCGGGGCTTTTTTGATTTTTCTTATCTTTTATTATTTCTTCAATTTCTTCTCTTGTGGGCTCTGGTATTTCTTCTATTACTATTTTAGGTTTCGGAACATAACAATTTCTTCAGTAGTCACTTCTTCATTTAGCATCTCTTTGAAATATTCTTTCCACCTTTCACATATTTGGTCTTTGTCCACTATTAGCTTTCCTTGCTTATCTTTTACATTTATCGTTCTTCCCTGGTACCCAGTTTTGATGTATTTTACTTCTTTATAAAAATTTTTATAAAAATTTCATTTTTCTTGTAATTTTCTTCAATGCGCCTAATTTTATCCTCCATATACTTTCGTTTCCGCTCCCTTAGGATTCTTTTTACTTTTTTTCGTTGTTCGGCATACCTTTCTAGGTCGTCTTGTTTTTGCAATCGTAAAAGTAGTTATCGACTGTTTCTTTGGACATTCCTAAAGTTCGTGCAATTGACGTGTTCTCAGATTTTCTAATTGAAATTTTAGGTTTTTGTTTCAAATAGAGTTTTAACCATTTTTTACCAGCTTTACCTAAAAGTAGACAATAAATAACTCTTGTATCAGATTAATGACTTTAAAACTTTACTTTCTTCTACATTAAATTTATTTGGGATTCCTAATCGCTGAGGTTAATTAAAGGCTATGATTCTTACTTCAGTTCTGGTTGATGAAAAGCCTGCTTTTTGTAGTTTTTTTAATATGGCTAACGATTTTAGCTTCAACAGCAGTTCCTAAAGATCAATCTGGACCCAATCGGTTAATCTTATTCATATTGTTTGTTTTTATTAAAAGTGTAAAAGTCGTTTTGGCTATTTCAAATGCTTTGGCGGCTTCATTAATATCCATATCACCATTCTTTACATCATCTACGGCATCACTTAGCTCCCTAGCTACAGCTCTATTAGGTGTATGTTGTTTGCGAATATATTTATTGAGCATAATCCTAACACAAAACATACTGGTCCAACTCTCGTCCTCGTAAGTGGTTTATAATCAGCCCGTATTATTTAAAATAAGCAGACTACAGTAGTAGTCCTTACTCTATAATACACATTTTAAATATAGTTCAATGATAAACTAATAACTAACAAATAATTGGTCAAACTCACCTATTTTTACGAAAAAATGAAATTTGAAAAACTCAAATAAAATTATCATACGTGGCAGTTTTTATTATCGTAAATAACCTACAAGTACTACTACAACTCCTGCAAGTACTCACCGATGCGTTACAAATTGCGGGACTTTTAAACAACTAACGTTAAACGATATAACAGAGTAGGTTATACTTGTCCTGTTGCCAAGCTTGGTTAAGTATACCTAGCGGACCGACTATCCTCCTGGTCCATCTCTCCTCATTTTACACTAACATTAAAAAAAACTAATTATTTGTTAGCTTGACTATCATTACGGTTATCTTCATCTTTTATACTGCTGCTTTAAAAAGATCAGCAGACTTACAGTTGTATCCTTATCTCCTATTTTTTTGTCAGAATAAACGTCATCTTCCTATGCTTCTTATACACAGTATTTTTTCTTGTATTATAATCTGTAACAATACATAACTCTCTCATGACATGGTCCAGATACTGCAATTTGCTTACTGTAATTGTATTAAAAACTTCCTTTCCTCTTTTCATTTTTTTCAAAACGTTGTTGTTTGTAAACTTATCCACATCGGTGATTTTTTAGATTCTCCTGCAAGTCGACATCTCGAAAACTTCTATTCTCTTGCCGGGGTTTGTTTTTTAACGCCCATCCCTCATGTACATATTACAACACCAAAAAAATATAAAACATCAGTATTCGTACGTTGAGTTTTAGGCTCAGATCATTACTGCAAAGTACTTTTTTCATATTATTAATTAAACTTTTTCTATTCTTGATTTGATTTGTAAAAAATAAAAACGTTGTTTTTGGTTATAATTGTTACCAAGTATGTATATAATCATAACCTTGCTTATTGTTGTGTTTTTCTATAGTCATAAATTATCTTCTTGATATCAGAGGATCCAAATTATTCCAGAAAATGTATAATAGTAACATAACCAAAAGTATTTAAGAGCAACGAAAGAAGCACTGGGTAAAACATATAAGCAAAAAAAGTAAGAATTAATTAGGTACAAACGATATACCAGAGCTAATTAAAAAATAGAAACATATTTTGAAATGGCTTAACTAAATATCAGAAAAAGACAGACGATGTGAAAATGATGTCAGGAGAAGAGTTACAGTATAGAAAAATTAAATGTGAGATTGCAAATATCAAGAAATCAATACTTACATAGAGGGACGGAGAAGCACAGTAGTGTAGAAATTTATGTACATAAATACTCAATAAATAACACATATTCCAAAAATATATCTCTGATATAAGTGTAAATAATTTAAATAATACAATAGTAAAGAACATCACTTTCATCTGACAAACAACCACAATATACCTATCTCTAATTCATTGGATCAAATCTGTTCTCCTCAAGAACTTCCCGTTTATTGTCAAAACAACTGCAATAGCACATTAAAGTTCTCCAATCAACAATACATGATTTTTGCAACCATGACCTACCATCCATCAATTAATAGAGTACCGGCATGTAAGTAATGTTTGTTTTGTTTTATTTATCTGCTCATTTATTAATTTATTACAATATAATATTACTACTTTATACCAATTGTGGGTCTTACCTTGTCTGTTAATACCTTTTATATATTCAAATTTATTCATTTTGAAAACCACAGACATGTAATATTGGCATAATTACTATAATTTGTATGAACTAACTTATTTATTTATTTTATCTTTATTAGACACCACCCTAATTGGGTTTATTTTATTGTAGCATTAGTTTAACTTTGTATCTGGACCTGAGGATGCTTTGCAAATTGTAGAAAGCGAAACCGGTCGTCAGATTGTTAAATTAAATTGATTGTGAGTAAGTCTTATTATTATTTATTTACCTATCGAATGTAAATGAGTTTTAAACTAATTTTCACTTAATTAAAGTAATTATTACAACTTAAGAACGGCAAACAACAATAAATATTGATTAAGTCAACTAACTGAACTAACATAATCCACAAAACAGCATGCAATAATGACTTTTGACTTTTACCTACCAGGATTTTATTAAAATTTGCATATAATGAAATGTTTCAAATTGAAAGTCTGTGTTGAAACGATGTTTGTAGCTGGTGACTTTTTCCAGGCGAAGATTTTAAATATACATAGATATAGATATATATATATATATATATTTTCTTTAAGTTTTTTTAAGCGTTTGACATTTTTTGAGTCCATGATATTCGGCCAACTTATTCAGATATTTTAGAATTTTTTTAATGTCCATGCTTCTAAGCCATAAAGAAAAGTAGTGAATGCGTAACAATAAAGCATCCTCAGACGTAGTCCTAACCTTATATCCCGACAACAAAGAAACTTTTTAAGTTTAACGAATGATGCACGTGCTATTTCAATATGTGTTTAAATATCTTTGGTTTGGTCTACATTCGATGTTATCCATGTTCCCACGTATTTGTAGGTATCCACACTGCCAATTACATTGCATTACGTTCTGTAGATCATTGCTGTTATCTGTCACTATAACTGTATCGTCTGCAAAACGCATGTTATTTAAAACATCTCCATTGATAGATATACTTTCTATTGAATCCGAGAGCGCTTCTTTAAATACCGCTTCAACGTAGACATTAAAGAGTAGTGGTGACAACACGCAACCCTGGCGGACTCCTCTCTATGTTTTAATATCTAAGATGTTCTGGTTGTCAACTCTTACCATGGCAGTTTGATTCCAATATAGATTAGATATAATTTTCATATCCTGATTGTCAATATTTTTACTTTTTAATATATCTACAAGCTTCTTATGAACCTTGTGAAATGCCTTTTTAAAATCCACAAAATCTAATAACATGTCCTGATTCATATCCATGCATTAATGTGCCAGCGTATTCAAGCCGAACAAAGCATCTCTTGTGCTCATATCATTTCTAAAGCCAAATTGTGTGTCATTAGTTTCATATTTAAGAGTATTAACAATTCTGCTGTGTATTATTTTGAAAAATGTTATGTGAGTCATTAAAGCTTTTTCATTTCTGTACGTCAGCATTTCTGTGATCTGAGCAGGATGTTGCACTTGACTTTTTGGGTATTCGCAGAAAGGTTTTGTTATAATACCTCTTTTATCATTTTTAAAGATATTTGATCTTGTGCTTTTTCTAGAACCTGCCATTTATTTGATTTTTTGTGAAAATTAAAGCTTTTATATTTTTTATCTAGATCTTTTATTTCCTTGCATCTGTTGGGAAGTCATCTCTCTTTTTCTACCCGAATTTTCTCCTGAATGTTTTTTTTTCCGAATTTTTTTATATTTATTAGGTCTTTTGCTATATTTTTTCTTCGTTCTTCCATAAGTTCAAGAATTTTTACTGTCTTCTAAGGTTTTGTTTTTTCCCGCAGTTTCCCCCAAAAACTAAGATATGCTGACAATGCAATCCTTTCCTAATGCAACGATTATGGACTAAAAATAAATTTAAAGAAAACCAAGTTAAATCATGAATGTGTTGCTTGTGTGAGTCCATTTCAAATAGGCAAAAGAAATAATTAAATATTATTTCTTTTACCTATTTAAAACCAAGTTAACGATATTTACAAAAGTACAAAACATCAAAGTTAAGCTAGTACTAGACAACACAGAAATTGAACAAATATCTTCATAAAATATATTGGAGCATGGATCACAGCAGATATTGATCATACAAAAGAAATAAGATGGCTCGTAAATTGCAAGGTCAACTTTAACCGAATGAGAAAACTTTTCTGCAATCGCAATATCAATATAACGCTTCGGATAAAAATGCTTTGATGTTATATATTCTTCAACTGTTGTATGGAGTTGAAGTGTAAACACTAAAACAATCCAATATTAAAAACCTGAAAGCATTCAAAATGTGATGTTACCTGCGTATTTTAAAAATACGTATGGATCGCTTTCCCAATTCCACTTTGTACTACATTAACAATTTATACTAGTTCACCTCCCTTTTCGTCTTTGGGTTCTGAGCATTTTTATGTATTGAAGGTATCCCTTTTATCTAGATGTAAGGGATGCTAGTAAATATTATTGTAGAAACAGCACTGACTAAATAAAGATATAAAATCTATAATGTCTTGTCCACGCGATAAAAAAATATTAGCTTTTGCAGAATATTATGCAGGGAACCAACCAACAAAAGCAACCAACAAAATCATCATACCTAGGCAGAATGATTGCTAACGTACGGAACGGATAGGCACCCTAAGAAGAAAAATGCAGGGAAAGATTTTAGGAAAGCGTCGACAATTAACACAGGATCGATTTGTCAGAATTGTTGCCGACCTTCAAAAACTAAAGAAAAGAAAACTACTAAGAAGAAAAATGGTACTCTAAATAAGAAATAAGGGGTTTTCGTATGACTACTACTGCATGAACATAAGAAAAATAAAATCACGCTTCATGTAAAAAAAGACTAGTAAAGATATATCATTATTAAGGAAATTTTTAAACACTATCAACAAACATCCAGAATTTCCTGAATCAATTTTAAGCTTGATATTTTAAGTTTTTTTAGCTTGGCTTAGCTGATTTAAGTTGACATGTGTCATATGGTAAATTTGTTTGTTGAGCCACTACTGATATAGATATTTTTATGTTCTGGTCTATAATAGGTTAAATAGTTTCAATATTCTCAGCTGTACGTTTGGAGTAACAACCAGTTCCAGCTTTTAGACCAACACTATCAGTATCTCTAAATAATTGTAAAGAACTCATAAAAACATTGTAAAAAGTAGACTATGGGAGGGTTGGGACCGACAGTGTAACGTTACTAACGCCAATTTCGATGAGCATTGGATCTGCATTACAGGCCAAAAGAGCAAG